ACAAATTGGTCCAAAATTAAAAACAAGAAGCAAACAGTGCCATCGAGTGAGTTGTGACTCACAGACCCCCGTTTCGCCGCCCTGCCCCACACAGTTCCAGGACTGTGGATCAGGTGACCCGCCTTTCTTCCACAGAGCAGCTGCTGGATGTGAACCGCCCACCTTTCAGTTAGCAGCCCAACATATAAGGCACAAGCAGAGCACCTTGGTTCAAAATTAAGCATTGGTCAATTTTTAAAAAACCAAAAACCTTCTAAATCAAGTTGTGACTGTCTCATTCCACATACTCAAACTGTCCTGAAGTCAGTTCTATAGTTATGAGATGGTAAAACCAAACACTTCGCCCTTTGATAGCTAGAGTTGAACAAGGCCCAACTAGAGATTTAGATTCCTTGAGAGCAGCTGTCAGGCTTGGAGAAGGATATCATGCTTGGGAAGGTGGAAGGTCAGCGTAAGAGAGGAAGACCTTCAACGAGACGGATTGACGCCCTGTCTGTAACAATCGGCTCACATGTGTCAGAGATGGTGACAGTGACACAAAGTAGGCAGCGTGCCGAGCGTCGTTCACAGGGCCCCTCGGGGTCATAATGGACTGACACATACCAGCAAGAGTGGTCAGTTCCAGAAGGAGCCCTGGAGGCGTGGTCGGTTGAGTCTCAGGCTGCTGACTTCAAGAGCTGACCGCCCAGGTGTCCTGCAGGAGAAAGGTGGTAGTAGTCTCCTGCTGCAAAGCCTCACGCACCAGGAGGGCCCCCAGGGGTCAGCATCAGAACCGCAGCGGCACGCTAGTGCCTATCAGGTCTGAGCAGCTCACAGAACGTGTCTATGGGAAAATAGTCTCAAAAATAAAACGCTGGACACTGCTGGCTCTGAGCCCTGCTGGAGAATGTGCAGTGTCTGTTCCTCCGCAGTTGCAGTAAGAGTCCTCTGTGAGCTGTGGTGGCCTAGTGGTGAGACCTGCACAGCCAACCCAGAGGTGTGTGGGAGAGAGGTGGGCGGTCCCCTCCTGCGGGAGGGCTGCCTCCAAAGCCCGCTGGACTAGATGGCTCATGACAATAGTCCTCTGTGGAGCTTCAGTGGGGAAAGAGCTGAGCCCCCAGCTTCTGGCCAAAAGGCTCATGGTTCTAACCCACCCTCCTCCCATAAAGACTATGAAAATAAGCCAGTCGCCCTGGAGCTGATTCTGACTCACAGCGACCATATAAGATGCAGAACGGCCCTATAGAGTCCCCAAAGCTGTCATCTTCAGGAAAGAATGTGCCACATCTTCCGCCCCAGGACTGGCTGCTGGGTTCAAACCACTGACCTCTCGCTTCACCACTCCTTTCTTCTTTCTTTTTTTTTTTAATTTTTATTTTGTGTGTGTGTGTGTGTGTGTACTGTCAAATTGGATCTGACTGGTACAGGAGGAGATTGTTCCTCCTTCTCCAGCAGAGCATCTGGTCGATTTGAACCCTGTGCCTCTAGGATTGCAGTGCAGCTTCTTGCCACTAGGCTACCAGAGCTCGCCTCCTTTCTTCTTTCATTGCTGTGGAGTTGGTTGTGACTCACAGCTGACACTTCCGAGGTTTCCAAGGCTGTGGATCACCTGGGGAGAGATTACCCATGAATCTCCACTGGAGTGGCTGCATTCAATCCCACAGAGAGGTGCCTCCCCTGGATAGCAGCTCAGCTGCCTGCAGACTGTGCCACCAGACCCCCTATGGACCTCCTGCTGCCAGCAAAAATGACAGCCTGGGAAGCCCTGGGGCAGGTCTGCTCTGTCACACGGGATCGCCAGAGGCCGTACTTTCAAGAAAATGACAGATTGTTAATTAGATATCACTAGGATATTTACAATTTAGAAGTTATGAAACAGGACATATAAAAGATGCTTATATTAGTTAAAATATAAAGCAACATGACCATTTATTTGGGGTTGAAATGCTTCCTAAGAAGCCCTTGTGGTGTAATGGTTAAGCACTTATCCCCGAAAGGTTGACAGTTCAAGCCCTCCAGCTGCTCTGGAGGAGGAGAAGTTTGGCCATCTGTTCCTGTCAACATCAACCCTTTCCCACCAGGTCAGCTCCAACCCACAGTGAGCCCGCAGGACAGAGCAGAGCCACCCCCAGCGTTTCTCGTGCTGCAGTGTCTTTATAGAAGCAGACTGGCAACCTTTTTCCAGGAGTGATTGCTGGTTTGAACCACCAAACTTCCACTTAGCAGCCAAGGAATGTGACCACTCTGCCCCCAGGTTTCCTACTCGTAAAGATTCCCCTCTGTGGTCAAGTGTGACCCACAGTGACCCCTTATCAGGTTCCTAAGACTCAGTCTGTATGGGAGGAAGAGCACACCTTTCTCCTGAGGAGCAGCTGGTGGCTTCGAACCTCTGACGTTTGGTTAGCAGCCTCACATGTGGTTACAGCACGAGACCCCCTCTAGGGCCCATCTGCCCTGTCACAGGGGTCACTGTGAGCCAGTAGCACCTTGATGGCACGCGGCAATGGCATCATCCCTCACCTTTCCCAGACCTGGGTCTGTCTCCTCAGCCTGACCTGTTCATATGCTGGGTGCTGGTTTGGTCGGTGGCTCCTGGTCCCGGCACAGACGGGCACGGCCTAAGCCAGCAAACGGAGGGCGCTGGCAGGGTGTGTACTCTGTCCTTGACCTCCTTTCCACTCAAGCTCGCTGGGTGTGCCTTTGACCTCTAACCGGACTGGACGCTGTGCACGTGAGGGGGATGCATCTGCAGCCGCTCCTGGCTGGGAGGACGCTGGCCCTGCGGACGCTGTGCGGTAGGGCGAGGGTGGGTCTCCTGGTGGCTGCACTGACCCTCTCCTCTCTCCTCTCCTTTGTCTCCCTGCCATGCTTGCTGTGTAGCAAATGGAATCTCTTGCAGTAAGTTCACGTTCTTTCCTATTCTTTGTCCATTGGCACGTGCCCCTATCAGGAAGCCCAACTCCACGTGGCTCCCTGTCATGCTGTCCCTTTCCGTGTCCCTGTCTTTGACTTGGTGAACGGGGACAGGCGGGGGTTTGGTAGTGTTTTGGGTGGCTTTGTCTCAGGGGACACCTGCATTGCTGTGGGTTCCGGTGCTCAGTGGGGTCTGGAGTGATCGTGAGCCCTTAGCAACCCTGGTGGTGTGACAGCCAAAGCCGGGCTGCTGACTGAAAGGCTGGAGGTTCCACCACACCCCCACACCCCCCGGCATGCAGGACAGTGTCCTGGCAGTCTGCTGCCATCGGACCCCAGCCTCGGGGACCCTGACGGGCAGCCATGCTGTAACACGTTTCCATGAGTCAGCACGGACCAGACGGTGCCTGACAGCACAGTCCTAAGCCCTGCTGGTGCAGTGGTCAAGCTCCAGGCTGCTAACTTGAGGCTTAGCTGTTCAAACCCACCCAGCTCCACAGGCCAAAAACCTGAGATGACAGCCGAGGAGACCCTAAGGGGCAGTTCTGCTCTGTCCGTGGGTCAGGGTGAATCAGGGTCCTCTTGATAGCACCTCACAACCCCGTAAGGAGCCCTGTGAGCAGTGTCTTCCTGGGGACAGTCCCTCCCATGGAAAGTCCCTCCTGTGGGCAGTGTCCTCCAATGGACAGTGTCCTCCCATGGGCAGTGTCTTCCTATGGGCAGTGTCTTCCTGGGGACAGTCCTTCCCATGAGCAAATGTCCCCCATAGCAGTGTCCTCCCATGGACAGTCCCTCCCATGGAAAGTCCCTCCTGTGGGCTGTCCAGCTCAGTGACCAGGAGAGGATTTGTGAACAAGATTGGACACTTGGGAGAGTAGAATTTCAGTGTGTATCCTTTTCCTCCTTGAACTTATTTGGGAAAGGACTTTAAGCCTCTTCAGAAACCCGAATGTGCACCAATTTCTCTACTCTTCTCCTCCACTAAGAGAAAGGGCCCCCTTCGTCCCCACTGAACCCCACTTGAAAATTACAGAAGCATTGGTTTTAAGCCCCGTGCTTAAGCCTCGTTTCAGGGGTGACCCTCAGCCATGGAATCCTATCAAGTGCTGCACCCCCTCGGTACCTGGGAGCGCCTCCTTGTTAGACTAACAGGCAGGGCCTAGGTGAACCGCGGAGCCAGGCACAGCTTTGCTCCCGGTGTTGGAGTGGCTCCTGGTCCGCTGGTCTGGACTGTCCTCACGTGTAGACGTAAGCTGGACAGCCCAGGGTTTCAGTTCAGGGCTCCTGAAGGGGCTCGAGGGCTTCTCTCTGGCAACTGTTTAAGGCTGAGGCCACAGACAGCTACACTGCAATGTCCTCATAACTACATCATCCTTTGAAAGCATCTTCGCCGCTTGCCAGGCTCTGCTCTGGCCTGTGGCGATGGAGCCCTGAGCCGGAGAGAAAGGATACAGTGTCCTAGAGGGGCCATGGGGCCAGTCCTGCAGTGTCCTCAAGGACAAGAATGTGAACCCCAAATGGACTGTTACATGGTCACCCCAAAGCTACTAGCCAGTTTATACTCTTGATGCCCAGAGTAAAGCCTTTGTTGCTTGACTATACATTGATATATTTATAAATAAAACCAACACCCTCTTGGCTTTTAAAAACAATTTGTAGTTTCTAAAAATGCACACACTCAACTCTAATTTGTCAGCATTTGATTGATTGATATTGTGGAGCTTTCGCAGGTCTGCAGCCCTGTGAGAACTGTGTTTTCTCGTAGGTGAAGAGTGTTACAGGGGTTTGCCAAGCCGAGCCCCCGTCCGTTTCCTGTCACCAGGCTCACAGTGCACGCCTGGTGCCCTCTCCCTGCCCCCTGAGGACACTACATGCAAAGACACACTATCACCTCCAGCAGACCTTTGTGCCTATGAGATCGTGGGTCCTCACTGACGTGGATTTGACCAAATGTTGGTTTTCTCCTTTAGTGGGGATAATAGTTAGGCTTCCTCAGAGAAGGAAAAAGTCTGTTAGTCTCCACTGAGATTTCACTTGCCAGGTGACGACGGTGCCCTCACAGGCTTCGCCTTCGTGACCTTTGCGCCCCGCCCCCCTTCTCTCTTCAGCAGCTGGAGCTGTGTCAGAGGCTGTACAAGCTCCACTTCCAGCTGTTGCTGCTCTTCCAGTCCTACTGCAAGCTCATTGGCCAGGTGCACGAAGTCAGCTCCACGCCCCAGGTGAGTCAGCCCACGTCCCGGCGTCACGGCGCTCTTGGGTTCAGCCCTTCACACGGTTCCATCCCTCCTTCAGCGTGTTCTTCGTGCACCATCTTCAAATGGCTTTGCCCTGATTTCTCTCTTGTTATTGTTAGGTGCCATCGACAGGGCACTGTCCTGCACCAGCCTCGTCTCGAGGCCCATTTTTAAAAGGTTTTCCGATGCAGGGCTAGAACCAGGGGGACAAAGTGAGGCATCAATGCTGACTCCAACAGAGAGGCCCTCAAATCCTTCGGGGAGGGTTGTGAGGTGCCCTGGAGTCACCTGCACACACAGAATGGAGCCCTGCTGGGCCCCCAGCTCCGGCACCAGGTTTGATGAGCCTCGGCCTTGGCTGCAGCCGCGGGGTCCAGGATCCGTCCATCTCATCAAGGGGCCTTCTCTTCTCCACTGACTCGCGCTTTTCCAACATAAGCCTCGCTTCCCTTCAGCCCAGTGCTGCCCTTGTGAGAATCCTCGGGGAGAATGATCCTGGGCGGCACGCCTGCTTGGACACTGAGTCTTTAGGAAAAGGAGATGAAGACGTGCAGTGTTAGGGTCTCCAGTCTCCTTCAGCTCCCCCGTCTGCTCCACATCGGGATGTACACATGAAATCAGAAAGGAAGACATGAAGCAGCTCTGATAGGCCACCCCGTTCCCAGAGGGTCAGGGCTGGGACCCCAGCAGACTTCATTTTGTTGGGTCCCCCGTGTGATGCATTTTCTTGCACATTGAAGGTCGGTGGCTGCCCATGGCGAGCCTGTCTGTCGGCCCCTTCAGCCCAACAGCCCGTGTTCACTCGGGTCTCCAGGGCCCCCTGTGGACCTGGATTCCATACGTTGGCTTCATCCTGACACCTCCTTAACGGACTACACAGTCTGTATCACCGTAGCTGTAACACAGAGAGACTCGAAGCATCCAGGGGACTCCCTTTACTGCAGTGTCCACTGCTTGTTATCCTCACTGTATCGACTGCAGTGTTCACTTGACCGGTCGTGGTATCCACTCACTGCAATGGTCTGGACCGGAACCTGCAGCCTCGCCAAGGTCCACCTGCATCCTAACATGCTGTTGTTGCTGTGAACCAGAGTCAGAACCGATGCACAGCTGACTCTCCAGTGTGTGTTCAGAGGCCGCAGACCACACGGGCTGTCAATTCCCCATCCCTCTCCCATGGAGCCGCTGGGGGATTTGAACTGCCTGCCTTGAATTGGCAGTGCAGCTCCTTAATACTAACTAGTCACCAGAGCTTCCTGCATCTTAGTGCAGTAAAGGACGTGAGGAGGGGTGCCAGGGCTCAGCACATGGCAGCTCACCTCAGGGCTGCCCCCCAGACCCAGCCACCCCTCCACGGGCAGCTGTGGCCGCTGCTTTTGTGCAGACTGACAGCCTGTGGAGTTCAGGGGGCAGTTGTCCCTGTCCTCCCTGTGATCGGTCCCTGTGAGGCAGAAGCGACTGGACACAGTGGGTATTTCCAATGTCAGATGGTTGGATGCTGTGCTGTTCCCACAAGAGAAAGCCCTGGTCACCTGCTCTGTGCAGGTGACCGCCAGGAAGTCGGTGGGCTGTCCTGCATGGCTTGTGGGGGTCTCCCGAGTCAGAACAGACTCCACAACACACAGTGACAGCCGTGTGGGCCAGTGCGTGGACGCTGCAGAGGCCCAGAGGCCCAGCGCTGGGCACAGCTGCAGGCAGGGGTCTACAGGTTCTGAGCCTGCATCCCAGCCCTCCCGG